CCCTGGCTACGGGCATGCACATATGCATATAGAGAGAAATAAGTACTCAGCTCACCGACAAATGTCTTGAATGTTTCTTCATTTGTCGCTTTGGGGCGTGTGGCATGGCGGCGTCCTCTTGAGTTCTGGCATCCAAGCACTGTCGCAGATAGGCGACTTCCTGCTGAAGCTCTGAGATCTGTGCCTTGAACTGCTGCAAGGCCTCAGAATGGCGCTTTTTTTCCGCCAGGACATCTTCAAGTGTCTTACGAAGGTTCATAATGCAGTGGTAAAGTTGCTCGTTGCTAACCTCAACTCTCGTTGATGTTGACTGAAACAAAAAGCGTCCGCCTCGGTTCTCTGGCGTCGACGACGTCGTCCGTGGTTGGATGCTTTTGGGACCACTTTCCCTACGGTTACTGCTGTTGTAGAAACCAGCGGGCGAAAAATGCGATGCCATACCAGCTTTCTTCCATGCCCCATCCTTGATCATGAAGTACAGCCTTTTGTGGGCATAGAACGCGGTATTTCCAAGTGACTGATCGCAATGCCCACAGAACTGTCTCTGCCTCTTCCTTTTCTTCCCAACTTTCTGACTACACGTATCATCCATGACACAGCTAGTGGAGAATTCATGTGCCAATCAGGGTATAAAAGGCTGGATGTAGTAGTCTTGAACACGGTCACGTGTTTGCCCCTGACAAATCATATTGTGTTGGCCGATATCGACCAATCACACTTGTCGAAGCTGGTGTGTTACGCCGAAAGGCGGTTATACCGGCTATACCGATACAGATACAGACACGTGTGATCTTCTGCCGAATTTGTCGACCGTGAAAACGTTGCAAAATTTCAGAATCGTCAGAGAGTCAATCGTATTTTGTTCACCTGACATACTTGACCGGGTTCAGTGATTTTTAAAAAGTCCGCAGTGTTATGATCGAGACAACACGACCGTACCGCTGACTAAGATGCCATATTTAGGCCTCTGTCACATAAAACCGAACATGGTCCCCCGAACTCTTCCAAACTTCACCCAAACATGATTGGGAGTAGGTTGGGAGTAGCTCGGCAGCAAGGATGACTGTACTGTGGTTCTTTAAAATTGGCACCTGTGTTCAGCGAGGTTGACTACTCTTCGGCTGTGCAGGCCGAATGTTTTATTTTAAAGTGGGAGTCGGGATCGGGAGTGCATGGTAGATATAGGCTGGGCCTTGGTTGGGGATTGGTTGGCTGGTGGATGGGAATAGATCTGCAGTGTTTGAAGTGTGGTTGGCAGTCAAATTTGATTGAACGTTAGCTCCGATTTGAATTGATTTACAGTATATCGAAAGGTAAGTGTGGCCTAATTCCGACCAGACTGCTGCTCATAACCTACTCTCTCTTTGTGACTGGGCTTTAGAGCTCACTCACTGAGGCGATCTGACCTTGTGATTGTTGTATAACACCGGCTTGTTATATAACTGTTAACTACAAAATTTTCCAAACCATTTCCAAAATTATTTCAAAAATAAAGTGATAAAGCCGTTGAATCTTTTCTAGCTGGATAAATTGAAATTTTAATACATAAACGTTTCAGGTACCATCCGGTACCTTTCACCAGTACAAATGTATGATTAACCTTCACCAACGTAATTTCAAAAATAATTACATGAATACTGTTGCCAACTATATAAAGTCATCATTATGATGTTGGCATTTTTTTTAATTTCCAAGCGTAAAAATTGGAACGAAGGTGAAAGTGAAAGTAGTTGTCTATCATTTTGGTACGTAGGCGTTGCGTTTTAATGGGGTCACACCTCAAAGGTCAGCGTGGGTCAGCATCAGACCTGTGCTTCAGATATCTTTGAGTAACATTCATCGTCAACTTTTTGTGTCTTCGTTTGCAATTTTCTTGTTTCAATTTTCGCTATCAATGTGACATAAAGCACGACAACAGATCGTGCTGCGCCTGTGGGAAACCCGTAATGTATTGTAGCACTTCGACAGAACGTCTCATTTATGGTCGTATCCGGTCTTCAGTTTTTATATTTTGTATTGAAAAAGATGTAGTCACGTTACGGGAAAAATTCTGATGCAAAGTTTGATTTGATTTATTGAGATGCCCTTTAGCCCCATGAGGGGCTAATCTTCCAGGGCTCGTTAACAGTACAACACATAAAATACAACAGTACAACACATAAAATACAAGCACTGAATACATACAATCATTGCAATTACACATTAAAATAATTGAGGTTGAGGCCAGAGGTCATTTAACTAATTATGACTAAAATCAACAATAAAACTTGTGAGTTACTAAATTGCTTCGAATATATACAATATTGTCAGGGTAAGCCTTTAAGTTCCATAAAGCTGACGTGTCATTTTCCTGAACTGCCTCTCATCAGCTGCTAATACAGTAGTCTTAACTTCACTCGGTAATGCGTTCCACAACTTTACAGATCTGTAAACAAACATCCTCTTTCCACTATTGTTGTTAGGTTTGAGCAATGAGTAGTCGTGCACTGATTGCCTAGTGGAATACCTGTGAGACGCATGAACTGGTACCAGAGATTTATAGATCTCCTGTGGCTCACTTGTGGTTACAATCTTGAAAAATAACTGAAGAGTACTGACATCAAATCTATTTCTCACCGATAACCAACCAAGATCAGAGTGCATTTTGGCAACTGGTGTATCGAACGAACATTTCAGAGCCAGCCTGCAGAACTTTGTTCTGTATAACTTGTATCTTCTTAGTACATGACTCTGAAACACTAGCTAGTATAGGTGAACAGTAGTTCAAGATTGATAGCACTAAAGCTTGGATTACAACCTTACACACAGCATCTGGCATGTAACACACATATCTTCTAACATAGGCTAGATTTCTTGATAGTTTTGCCACGAAGTGTTTAACATGGAGATTCCAAGAAAGTGATGGATCCATATGCAAACCCAGGAGAACTGCTTCGGTTACCTGTTCTACCTTCTTCGAACCAATTGCAAGATTCAAAGATGTGTCAGGTAGAAGAGCTAGCCGGCGGGCTGTTCCAAATAGCATACATAAGTTGACTAAACATAAGACAAAAACCCGTTTTTTCGTAGGCGCATTACGTTCTAATCTCCACCAGACGCCTTTGCAGGCTAGATAAATAGTAGAAAGTGGCCTAACAAGGGGGTACCATTGGTCTGAGAAGTTGGCCGGCAAAAGATGGTCCATTTGCCTACACGCCAGAAGGGTAATGTTTTCGATTTGGCCCTGCTTGAGTTTGAATCTGAATGTATGTCAACGGCATAACTCTAGAAGAGTGTAGGATATCATCACCTAATGTAATTCTATGAAGATCTTATTTGAGTAATCAATGAGAGACATCTACAAGTCTGCCGCACCAAACGATACAAGAACTCGCATCTACCGCACTTAGTGAAACTGTCGAATTCTACTTAGTGTATGCAGTAAATTTTATCAGACTCACTTTAATTTTCGAATATGCAAATATGTCAGCCGTATGTTTTCAGTATCTAAAGTATGTCCGAACGTCACGGTCGTCTCCTGTTACGATATATTAAATGTATAAAAAACGTTGTATATTTCATTATCAATGTGTATTTATTTAACGTTGCCTATCATAATTTTTAGTGTATTCGTAACTTTCAAGTGGACGAAGTACTATTATATTGTCAGAATAACGTAATTCAGACTTTGTCTGTGAGTTGTTAAGTTTAATAAAGATTGACAGATTGAAAGTAACTAGTCGTTTGGCGAAGGAATGGGATCGTGGAACTCTAGTTATTATATTGAATGACCTCAACTGACTAACATTTATCTCCAGGTACGGACGACGACGTCGGTCTCGTCTGCTACGGCACGCGGAACACAGACGGAAGGGACCTGTGGAAGGGTATCCAGTTCGATCACGCCGCCTTCTCAACCGTCACGGAGGGCCGCTTTAGATACTCCCTGTCTCTATCGGTCCTGAGCCACGTCACCATTGACGGTGCCGGGGCGGCCTCCTGGCCCGCGTGGGGCAACAGCACGGCCGTATCCATCCGCGGAGCCGCTCCGGTAATGAGGAACCTCAACATCGTCAACTCCTTCACGTCTGGCGTCAAAGTGCTTGACATGACGTCCAACCTCCGCCTGTTGAACATAACCCTGGCCGGTAACGGGGCTATCAGCGTGGAGACCAACCCTCTACACAATGTCTATCTGCATAGGGTGGACATAGAGGACAGTAGACGGGGGAGTCTGATGTTTAAGGAGAGAAACCCCAGCGGGACACCGAGAGACTTCTGTACCTTAGACACCACCGGCAACGACCACGAGGTTACGTTCCCCGTCTTCCTTCAGGGGTATTCCCGCCGATACTCCCGCGCAGAATGCGTGAAGGTAAAACTATTCTTCTTTAGAAAATAGATATCATAAAAAAAACACATGCACAGATGCACGGTTTCTTGTCCGCTTTATGTTCATATCTGTCGGATCACTTCTGAAAATAGCTTCATTAGGTTGGTAGGACACAGAACATGGGATTTTCTTTTACACAACCTGTACTGTATCTCAACTGCTTACATTTCGATGTCTATCAGACACCTTCCTTGTGCTTCTGACTGGAGTTCTACTTCTCGCCACTAGTATATAGGTAGCGCTTTTGAGGCGAGAACACAATCCCAAGCAAATGTAGACAAATATGTCTGACATCTGTGTTTCCAACATTTGAAATTTGAAATAAAGTAGTATATGGTGTTTTTATGTGCTTTTTGCATCGTCCTATTGTTACATAATGCAGCTTTAACATTCTCTGTCTATTCTATCTTCAGGTCATAACGACAGACCCTGGGAAGATCATCACAGTACATTATGTCACCATGTCATCGGATCCGTGGTATGGAAACGCGCCAATGGTGTTTCAAGTTAGAGACGGGACAACAGAAGCTGCGCATTTCCTGGACGACGGTAGCAGAGTGACGGCAGAACGCAAGACACTGTCCACCGGGCAGAACAACGTCTGGCTCCGGTTTCAGTCGGCATACTACAGTGAAGATAGGTTCACCATTGTTTTGACCAGTCAAGATACTGCAGGTAGGTTCTTTGATAAGTCCCTGGATCTCTCACAAAAATCTTTGAGTTGTAGCTTCTTTCTAGTCTTTAGATTTAAGAGGTGGGCTATGGTGTACTTCGTATGATCTTTCTTCCTGATGTGCTATTTGTTATCAAATCCTATGGCGGCCTGTATGGCCTTTAAACTTTGCGTAGAGCGTAATCGGCCATTTCATCCCCACGTGATTCGTAGCCGTACCGCTCAAAATCGATCGTGATAAAGCTCTACACGTGTACTAAATGCTTAAAGCGTAATTAGCGCCTGGTAATGGATTCAGAACAGAGCAAATTCAACATGATACGCCTAGCTGCCGGTGCCTTGCCAATTTCAGCATGGAGCGTTGAAGACATGCCCCCGCCCATATGCAGGCTCCCTTCTATGTGTTGTCAAGATATGCGTAAAACTGAGAATGTATACACATAGCACAGTCACTCTCGCATTGCCGTTCTTATAATGCTCGTTTTCTTTGGCGAAATCTACTCTCTCATTCCATACATTGCTTGCTTAGTTAGCAATCTTGTCAACAAAGTAAACATGTCAATTGGCTAGAAAGGATATTTTTTTCAAGTTTTATGTTTTTCAAGCTACATGCATGATTTGTCAGTTTGTGTACATGTTTGTCACTTCATCATGTCCGACCAAAGCGCAACACGTCTGCAGAACGTTCTGCGCCTGCGCGAAACCAGTAAACTGCACTGTGAATAGCACTTCGGCAGGGCGTCTCATTCCATCTAAAGTTTCCAAATATTGGGAAAATATGTCGCCTTCAACGCGTGATATTCTGATGAAACTTTGTCCAAAAATAATTTCCTTCCATCACAAGAAAGGAACTCACCATCGATTTTTATTCAACCTGGTCAATTTATCATCCACCAGCTGAATTGTGGGGTCGTGTGGCGTAGCGGCAGAGTGCGCGACTCGGAACTTAGAGTCCCGGGTTCGAGTCCTGACATGCCACCGATCTTGTGCCCTTGGGAAAGGCACTTTACACGGCTTTCCTCACTTAGCTCAGGTGAAAATGAGTATTGTCCTGTCATGTATTTGTCCCCTGTGTTGGTGGCGGCATTAATATATTATAAGTTGAAAAAAAAAACTTGAGTGTGTCGTCACCACGTCTGGTGATTACATGTTGGAATTAAATAAAAAAAATTGTCACTCAAACGTTGACGAGATAGACTGAAGATTTATGGTGAGTTCCTTTCTTGTGTTGGAACAAGTTAAACCGAGCAACTATGTGTATGACCAAACATATTAAACGAAATTAAAGCCGTGAAAAATCTGGGCTTTAAGCAGTACGTTCTGCCGACGTTCTAAGAAAAGTTGTATATGTATGACGTCAAAGTTACAACCGCATTAACAGGTTCACCCGTTATGATCGAGGATTGCAAGGTCCCTAACGGCATCCATTTGTCCGGATACAAACGCGCGGTAAAGATCACAGGAACGGAGATATCGTCATCACAAGGAGCAGGTCTGATTTCGGACGGAAAAGGAGACCTCAGTGTGGCACAAACGACTTTCACGGGCAACTCTAACGGGATTGTTGTGGTCAGAAGGAACGCCTTTGACACGGCAAACATAGACATCAAAAACGTCACTTTTCATTACACCAGAAAAGTAAGCCTGCGTCTGGAGAACCCCACTGGGGTGCAATTGTCGGTTGCGGACAGTCAGTTCATCCAAAATTTAGGGGAATCTATCGTTGTGTCCAACTTCGAGGCAATCGAGTCTACAATCATCAACAACACGTTTTCGAAGAACTCAGATGCTTGTATCGTTTTCTTTAAACAAGATTCGACAGATCACCCTTTCGAAGTCGTCATAAAGGATAACCTCTTCGTTCAGAACAGAGGACCGCGTATTGTTCATCTAGACATACCAGAGAACACCGATAAATCTGTGACATCTGTTGTAGAGTTCGAGGACAACATCTTGGATGCTAACAAAGTTGTAAATCCATTTCAAACTGCGTACGGATGTTCACGCAGATGTCACTACGCGGTTCTTGTAATACACGACTTGGCCACAACCCTGCAGGGTAATGTCTTCACGAATTCGGCAGCTCGGTATCAACTGTCAACAACGGGTCCGGCGTCACCACAACCAATGAACGCAACGTACAACTACTGGGGAACTACGGAGCAGATGGATATCGCGAGAAGCATCTATGGTAGATTTCAAAGATACACCTTGAGAGAAATATCGTACTCCCCATATTTTCTTTCCCCAACAAAGACAAACACAAGTGCACCATCTGCTCCTGTATGGCCCGATTTCTACAGAGCTGACAGCATTGGCGGCGTGGTACAAGGAAACCTCTCCCTGTCCGCTGCAGGCGGTCCGTACTACGTGTCCCGTGACATCATCATCCCCTCAGACAGTTCCCTCTACATCGAGCCTGGGACGACACTCGAGTTTGCACAGGACGTAGGTCTGTTCGTTCAAGGACGACTGGTTGCTAATGGCAGCGAGGAAGAAAGATGTCGGTTCATGCCGGTTAGGAGAGCTAACAGTAGTACGCCATCAGGCGAGGAGGACTTCATCAGGCTTGTAGGAGGCAATCACACACGGGAGGGGTTTGTACAAGTCTTCACGAACGAATCCTGGCAGGCCGTTTGCAGGGATGATGACTGGCTTGTGAAAGATTCGGAGAAGGTTTGTCAATATCTTGGCTACAGGGGCATAGAAACGGACGTCCTAGACAAGCGACAGTCTTTTCAATCCACGTGGCAACGCAACTTGACATGCGGTGACCTGTTTGAAGAAGGACAAACACGTTGCCTGTACCCCATCAACAGCACGGAATGTGCTTCAGTGCTGTATGTGGTTTGTGAGGAGGCCCCTTGGCTCGGGTTACACTTCACACTAACAGCAGCACCTAGCGTCCTGAGTAACGCCGACGTGACTGGGAGCAGAACCGGGCTGAGAATCGACTTCCACCGCCACAGGATGTCCAACATTCGCGTACGTGACGTGCAGGACAACGGCATCATTCTCCGGCACCGTGACGCCCTACGAACCCCCTCATTGTGTGACAACTGCAGCATTAAAGACATCAGAGGCCACGGCATACAAGTCTATTCCTCATCATCTTCCTTGATCAGACAAATTTCCATTCAGAATGTTGTTGGAAACGGTATTGACATTAGGGGCTTTACGCCAGAAGACGTTTTAAGCGCAACGTCGCTGACGCCGCTGTCTGCCAGACACTCTATTTGCTCCGGTAACAGAGCCTTGGATGTAGGTGAGCGTGTCATAGTAGAGCTGGAGGGTGTAGACAGCTGTGTGGAATTTTGGTCCACAGTGCCAGACAATGTAATTTCTGTTCAGGCCATGTTCAAGAACAGCAATGCCATGCTGTCGCTAAGTGTTCACGATGGTGGTTCTGCTGACTCAGGACAGGAATGGACCCTAGGTGATGATGAGGAATCAGACGTATTTGTTTCCACTGGTCAAACCATTGCCCTTGTATACGGAGGATCTGGACCAGACAACAAGACATATCTTCTGATAGAGACGTTGCCAAACGGCGATAGGCAGCAGTATCTAGTTGATGAAGGCATGGATCGGGGCATGATAATCGAAGACACAACTGCCTACAACTCTGGCATTGGATTTTTCCTTGACCAATCAGAGGAAAATAACCTACGCCGCCTCCTGATAGTAAATTCGTCAGCAATGTACTGTAATCAGGGAATGGAACTGGTGAATGTTTCGGCAGACGTTATCGTAAAAGAGAGCACTTTGAAAGAAAACAATGGATCCGGCATCACAGTGGAAGAAGTAACACGGAACGGAGCATCCATCAGTATAAATGCATCGGAAATCTCTTGGAATGGGGAAGCTGGACTGGAAATGACATTTTCAGATTCGACGTACAAAAAAGGAATTGCGGTTTCTGGCTGTCGATTCGAAGGGAATGTCCTGGCTGCGTTGAGCATTGTTCTTGAGGAAACCCAGGGGTCTGGTGACCATCTAGTCAGCCTGTCATTCAACACATTCCACGATGCTGGTTATCCTGCAATGAGGCTCGAGGGATCCTCTGCCGAATGGAATATAATGGGCAATACTTTTAGCAACAACTCAATAGCGATGATGGAAATATCTGGAGACATGTCGACGTGGAATTTTGAACAAAACTCTTTCATTCGTAACCGTGTAGAGAGGTCTCTAATCATTACCTTCGATCTATCGTCTTCTGAGGTCACCCTCGAGGGAAATACCTTCAGAGACAATGAGATAGAAAACGGCGGCGTGGTGGATGTATCTGGGTTCGATAACAACTGCACGATTTCATCCAACACGTTTAAAAACAACTCGGGAAGGTATGTTATCGACATTGCAGTTTCTGGGCACTTTGTCGATGGCACAATCTTACCCATGGTCGCGGTGTTTGATAATCGGCTAGAAGGTAATATATTCAACCAGTCACTTGAGATTTACGGTTGTACTGTTTTTGTTGAAGTGACGCAGAACATCCAAATATTTCAGTTCAACCGTCTGGATAACCCCCAAGTCAACTGGGAATTGTGCATGGAAGGAAGCCATGCTCTATCCGACAGCGTCTTTGAGGCACCTTTGAACTGGTGGGGAAGTAGCGACGCAGCTACGATTCGAAAGAGGATTTTCGACTTTGACGATTGGAACGACCACCCTATTGTCGACTTCAGTCCATTTCTGATATCTGCAGAAGGGAACATGTCACGTCATTGGGTCAGGATGTCAGAAATAGGAGGTCGGATCTTTGACAGCGTCACACTTACGATCGAATGACAGTCCTTATCTCGTATCCGAGGATATCACAGTATTACCGAATGCCACATTAAACATCCAACCCGGCGTCGAACTTCAATTTGCTCCAAATGTGGGGATACTCGTAGAAGGCTCATTGAACGCTATAGGTGAGGAGGACAACATGATAATGATGACACCAGGTTCTCCAAGCTTGATTCCAGGCGTAAGGACGGACAGGTTTTACGGAATACGCCTTGCCGACGGTGCTAATCAATTCGAGGGAAGAGTGGAGATATTTGTCAATGGACAATGGGGTACCGTATGTGACGATGCGTGGGGGCTATCGGACGCCATTGTGGCTTGCAGACAACTTGGATTTGGCCCACCGGTAGATTATCGGAGATACTTTGGTCAAGGAACAGGTCCCATATGGTTGGACGACGTTTCATGCAGTGGGAATGAGGCTACGCTGCTGGCCTGTAGATCTAGAGGCATAGGATCCCATAATTGTGGTCACTATGAAGACGTCGGTATCGAATGTGGATATGGATATGGTCGGCGAAGAACAGCTTCTTTGAATTTCGTACAAGGTGATCATTGGGGCAATATTCGTGTCCAAGCCACAGACATGGAGGTATCCAAAGGCGTACCAAGCTCAGTACTGCAATACGTTACGATTTCAGGGGCAGGTGTGTTGCATGGGATTGAGGTTCCTGCAATACAGACAATCGGCAATGTAATAATGCTGCAGTACGTGAATGTTTACAACTGTAGCTCACACGGTATCGAACTGGTGTCACCATCAAAATCAACCAATTACAACACTGTCAAGGTTAACATGACGACATCAAACACAGCCATGAACTTGGTGGAATATAACAAAGATGTGGTCTTGGATAACATTGAAGCGATGGGAGGCAAGTATGGTATCCAGTTCAAGTCTCTTTGGGACTACAGTGTGGCAACACCGTACCTAGACACAACATCGGCCACCTTTCTAGAAATTTGTGACAAAACCTCGACGGCGTCGTTGGCCTCTAAGATGATAATTTTCCACCGTAGCTCGTACCTGTACGGATTTGCCAGGACAATTGACTGTAGTGTGATCATCAAAGCTCCCAGAAACCACAGAATCCACCTGAAAGTGGACATATCAGCGGTTGGATCAGGAAATGGAAGACTCAACCTCTACGATGGATCGTCTGGAAATCAAATCTCATCCTACTACTATGTACGGACAGATGAGCACACGTCTTCCTCGGATACTGTTCGGATGGTGATGACCGGATACATCTCCTTCACCTGCCAGGCTACAGTAGTTTCAGCTAACAGAACAGGTAAGGTCAACATCCATGTTAAACAGATAATAATAATCAGCCTTATTTGACCATTGAATCTGAATTCCATACGCTTCTTAACAAAAGCCATACCTTATCTGTCGAACGTGATACTATTATAAGACCGAGGATTATAAGACATCTAGATATGTGAGGATAGATTGCAATCAGGTGAGTCTTCAGTCTATGAAGTTTAAGATATTGACTTAGAAGACGACCAGAACTTTACAACATTGTTTCATGTTACTTTAGATTAATGGATTAACTTGTAACTCAGAATTTATAAATATGAGACAAACCCTATATATTTCTAGCATTCTGATGGTGATCTCTGTCGATAAGAGTCTCTGATCTGGATCTCTAAAATCAGAATCAAAGATTCTACGAGATTGCAATCTCTATGCTGACATATATGCCCATTAGTGTCCATAATATGGTTGATGATCGTCGACGTCTTTGAGTGGTAGTTGCTGATAATGCTAAAATCTTAGACTTTGTTTTTGACCTTTTTGTTTTACTATCCTCCTTTGCAGCCCGAGTAAACCACGTGGTGGCTAACAGTTTCATTCAAGGCAACAGTGAGGCAGGACTTGTGTACACGGAACAGGGCACGGCAAGCACACGTTCCCGCATCGTGAACACGGTCATCAAGGACAACAGTGGTGACTCGTCCTCAAACCCTCCAGCATCCGTTTCTATTCGTGCAAAAGATGCCCTGATTGAGATGCTAAATAACACTGTGCAAAACAACAACGGTGGAATAGGCGTACGCCTGGACGGACCAGAGTCAAGCAACACGGATTTAGAAGAGACAAAAGTGCACAAGATTATAAACAACACCTTCAGCCAGAATTCTGGCTCAGACGTGCTATCTTTTGAGCTCCTATCTGAGGAAACAGATCACCTAATTCTGCAGGGAAACACTGCTGAAAACAACGAAGTGTCTGCCACTGGCAGAGGCATAGTTACCCTCACTGGAGTCCACACAGAACTCACACAGAATACATTCGGAGAAAACAAAGGCGAACACGTCTTTAAGTGTCAAGATCGAGAAAATGGAGATGGCCAAAGAAACATCAGCATCAGGGAAAACGTTTTCGAAGATACTGTCGAAGTTGATCGAATCTTGGACATATCAGGGACCAGTACGAGAGTAATCGCTGAAGAAAATTGGTTCCAAGATAATGAAGCCACGCTCATGCGAGTCAGAGTTTCTGATGGTCATGTCCAAATATTGGAAAACAGCTTTCACGGAAACAGTGACGGGCTTCTGTTGTTTGAGCACAGCAGTACGTCGTTGGTGGACATGATAGGAAATGAATTTCGTAACAACACTCGAGCTTCAAATCCTCTGATCGACCTTCGCAATGACAACATCTACATAGTAATGAAAAACACACTGACAAATAACAGTGCTCCTGTGATGTTCAGAGTATCCACGACCTTTCTTCATGATAACAGCTCAACCACTACAAACGTCTCTATGATTGGAAACATTTTGAAGGACAACATTTACGACAACATGACCAGTGGTAACATCGTGGGAAGTTCCTGTACGATTCTTTTCGCGGCAGACCAAAATGTCCCAAACTTTCACAAGAACACGCTTCAAAACGACGAGTTCCAATGGGAGCTCTGCATGGACACGTCAATTGCGTCCCTCGAAAACGTTCAGGATGCGACCGAGAATTGGTGGGGGAGTCAAAATGAAGACGACATCCGACTGAGAATCTTTGACTTTGATGACAGAAATGACCGCAGAATCGTTAACTTCAGTCCGTATCGAACCAGTGAATACGGAAGCATCAGTATACATGCGGACGTCAGCAGAGATGCCAGTAGTAGTATCTTACACGGGCGGATATACAAATCCCTCACACTTGAGTCATCAAAAAGTCCATATATAGCCACAGGCGACGTCACCATCCTGCCAAATGTAACCCTCAACATAGAACCAGGTGTTGAGATCCGTTTCCACGAGGATGTTGGTATCCTTGTCTTGGGAAGTCTCTTGGCAAGGGGAACCTCAGAGAACAAGATCAGATTCTTGCCATTCGATAAAGCCGCATCTTCTCCAGTTGTGACTACCTGGACAAGAAATCACAGGATCAGGCTTGTAGGTGGCAGCCAACCATGGCAGGGGCGTTTGGAAGTGTTCTTACGTGGCCAGTGGGGAACTGTCTGCCGATACTGGTCGAATCATTGGACCTGGCAAAATAGCCAGGTAGTCTGTAGGGAATTGGGTTATGGTCCACCAACTGGCTTCAATACTTGGCAGTATGGGCAGGGCGAGGGACCGATATGGCTCGGTGAGGTTCAATGCCAAGGAGATGAGAGAAGACTACTCGAATGCAACTCTCAAGAAATAGGCGTAACCAGGTGCTATCGTCACAGTTGGGATATTGGAATCACCTGCCAGGCTTCTAACCCGGAAGACGAAAACGATGAAATGTCATTGAAGTCGTGGGGAAACATTAGAATTTCAGTTAGTAAGTCTGAAGCGACAGTGGATCAGGAAATTACACTTGAAAATGTAGATATTCTACATGCTGGTCGGCTTCACAGAATAGACGTTCCAAGCTTGCAAATCATTGGCGTTGACTCGGATATCAGTGATGTGACCATTGCAAATTGCGTATCGGACGCGACTGAGGTTGTGTCTGCAAGCCATACCAAGATAAATCAGCTATTTGTTCATAATTGTAAGACTGCTGTCTCCCTCGCTGAGATGTCAGGTGAAACTTACATTGGCTCCTCGACAATGATCTCAAACGATGTTGGAATCAGCATGACAGAGGCCTTAACCTACAGGGATGTCTACATTCCTAAAGGTCATGTCAGCTCCTTCGGATTCGTCGACATCTGTGATCACCAAAACGTCATCGAAGTGCAGACACGTGTGAAACTTTATCACAACTCCTATTACTTCACGCGTGCCTCGTGCTTCAAAGTAGTTAGAACAAAGCCAGAGTTTCTCCTTCTCGCAAAGCTTTCAAGTCAAGACGTTCCCCAAACAGTGTCGATATATGACGGGGAGGTGCCATCAAGAGAAAAGCGCATAGTTCACTTGACGCGTTCGGCTGCCACTCAGTCTATGAGGAGGAAAGAAGTTTTCTCCGTGTCCAACAAAATGTTGATCCTGGTAAACGACCCAATAGACGTTCTTGTGGAAGTGTACGCCATCAGGAAGTCAGGTAAGTGTCATTAGTTTTGCTGTTTAAATCAATGGCCTTTATTTTTAAAGCAGTCTCTAATCTGTGTCCAGTATTACAAGCGTGGTAGCATCTTTCTGTCTTCGACATTTTTACAAACAAAACTTCATTAACATGACATTGTGTTGGGGGTACTTTGGTAGAATAACAACATGTGAAGCAAGTGGGGCCTCTGTGAAAAATTGTAACATTTAAAACCTACATCAACATCACACATTACCAGATACCTTTAAATCTGTATTTTCAAAAGTCTGACATTATATTAGGTGGCATCAAGTCGATTATCTCTGTATAAACTTTAATGAGTCATTTTGGGCAATTGCAGAGAGCTGCAGTTTCGAGGATCTGTCATGTACCTGGACAAATTCCCGAGACACGGCATGCAGGGAGGAGGATATAGAACAGGAGTGGAGACTTCGGACCTTAGGAGTCGACCATCAGTGGTTTTCTGGACCCTCAGCGGACAAAACGTATGGTAAGCTCAACTATCATAGTAACCTGGCCTGATTCTACTGCAAACCGTAACATTGTTCGATAGAGAAAATAAAGTTTTTTATTATATCTATCAACATTATAGAATACCTAAAACGTATTGATTATTGATTAATTATTACTTTTATTATATTAATATATCTATTAATATAATGGATATCTATTATAATAGGACAACAAGAGTAACATTTGAAAGCAAATGCATAATGTTCACTTTTACATGGTCAAGCCTAACAAACTACTACTCTGTTTATTCTTACTCAAACACATTCATAAACTAGTACATGGTGACGAACCCCTGAAGTTATGTCTTGCTAAATAATGTAATTCAACAGCACAGGGTGTCTGTCAAAGCACCAGTTACCTTGGTGATTGTGGTCTGGTCCAGGCCATCGACCTCATGTGTTTTGAGAAGACGAAACAGCAAAAAGAACAATTTGTTCTATCACCTGGGATAGACAAAGATAACATGTAAAACATGTTTATTTCAGAGACAGCATACTACTCCCTTGGATGCTGGAGAGATGAATCAAATCGTGCCATTCCGTCGCTGGAAGGGTCCGACTCTCGCCTCGATGGTTATTACCGCTACAGAGGGAACCCCATACAGAAGTGCCACGATGTCGCTGTGAGCAGAGGTTTCAAAGTGTTCGCCTTACATCATAGCGGCGAATGCTTATCGGGACCAGATGCAGAGTCAACATACATGATGTACGGCAGGTCAACAAGATGTTCGTCAAACGGTGAAGGTGGCTACCGGGCAAACCACGTCTACAAAATTGTCAATGGTGTAGCATTACA